TCTGACACAGACGATGACTTTCTTAAAAATTTTCCTCTGGCTTCGAATGGGTTCTCCGAGGGACCACTTCCACCGGAGCTCGAAGCTGCCTTAGAAGATACAGAGCGTGCAGAACAGTATTTGAACAATCTAAAAGCCACGATGGAAGCATGGACAACTGCGGGGTTAACTGACGCAATGAAAAGAGCTATTGAGCTATTACACGACAATAATGCTTGTACAAACGAGAACGCCGAGGAGGAAGACGAAGACACAGATGGAAGGTCAGGCTTCATTAGAGTTTTAAGGCTAAATGGAAGAACAGATATAAATAGTGAAGAATTAATGCGAATTCATTTAGCTATTTTAATTCACATATATTTTCTTTAATATAGTAACGATGAACCGTCTACACCTACAATTGAAGCTCAAAATATTCAACCTCAACCAAAAATAGCAGAGGGATCAGTTTCGCGTCTTGGTGGGCATATTATCAAGCAATAAAACTTCGCAAAAAATTGGAACACCACAATATTTATTGCTAATGAATTTTAATATATTTTACAGTTAATGGCGTGTCCTCATTGGTTGATATTGAGATTTGCTTTAATCAACGTCGAATACCGGAGCTGGATCTCCCAACTACACCAGAAAGCACTATAAAATCTGTCCTCAATGAATTATACAAACTTCAGGAGGATCTTCAAATTCACTTGCAAGGTGGACCATTAGCTGAACCGTCATCTTTGGGAACACAAAGACGAAAAAAAGTTGATGATCTTCTAGAACGGGTCATGAAAGAAGCTGCATTATACGAAGAATTTGTTAACAGAGGTATCATTGATTTTGTTCACTAGCTATTGCTATGCGAGAGTCAGCATTCTAATTTAAATCGCCACGATAGCATCTCATCTAAGCCTCGATAGAATTTTAAATGAATCCGATGCATCCAGTGAAGATGAATCCCAAGATTCCGAAACTGTGGATACAGAGTCTGGAGTCCACACATTTGAGGTCCATATTGTCTAAAATGAATTATCCATAAGTAAACAAATTATAAACTTTTTAAATGATCAATATTAGGACTCCTTATCTGATGTATCTCGTAAATCTTTAACGACCGCTTCAACAACACCTCTTTCGCCACGTTCACTAAAGGCAGTTGACTCGAGCATTTCACGAATTCGTTCTATGTCGTCCACTTCAGTACAATCTCAAACGTATTCTCGTTCATCATCTCCTTCGGGGTTAGGCCTTGAAGACATAGGATTACTCTCTCCGCCAGAACCATGGGAGGCATTCAGATGGTCGCCTCTTACAAAAATTTCAGAACAACTTTATTCTCCCAGTGTTAGTCAAAACGCCGGGTTGGTCACTGTCCTCTCTGTAAGTAGCGACCTGTAGATATGCACTATGTGGAAAATACTTTATATTAGTTTTATTAATCTTTTGTCTTATTTTTTGTTCTTTTTAGGTAAGTGGCATAATTGCCGTTGGCACTACCCGTGGTCTGGTCATGGTTTACGATTATCAGCAGAATATGAAATGCACTCTCGGTAGCACTGTCAATGGTATTATGGTGAATTATTTTATGACAAATATTTTTTGATTTTATATTGTTATTAATACTTTAATATTTTATGGCAGCTATTGAGCATGGCGCCGTCACGGCACTTGCTATTTCTTCAGATCACACCCAAATTGTCAGTGGTCATGCTCAAGGATACATTTATATATGGGATATTCAGAAACCTACCGTTCCTGCCCGGTCGATATTACCTATTTCTTCTGCTGTTGCTGCAGGTGGTAGGAAAGAAGGGCACATTCGTGGATCCGCAATATTGCATGTTGGATTTGTTGGTGTTCGAAAAAATGGCATCGTTTC